ACTGATGTCTGGAGGACCGTGACCTGCTGGCCACTTCCCTGTAGCTCCCCTGAGGTCACAAGAGGGTGCAGGCTCCTTGTGACATTCCACCCTCTGGCTTGGTGCCCTGGGCAGCCTGAGAGCCAACCAGGTGGGAACCTGCCTTTGTTTTTTGGTTGTTCCGCTGGATGTTGAATGAAGAGAGGGAGATGGAGGAGAGAGGGCTTTTCAGATGTGCCTTGCCACCCTGAGGGTGCTGGGAGTTCCAGGAAACTCACCTGTGGTGCCAGCCACACCACTGCCCAGCCACGTACCCATGGATGGTGGCCAGCCAGCCAGGGCCTCTAGGATCCCACCCTTGCTTTTGGCTCCACACGGGACTGGAACGCCCAAGAGACCTGACTTCACATCCTGGCCCCTCTCTCCGCATGCTGTGTGGCTGCCCTTGTTCCTCATCTAAGGGAATCAATTATTCCTTTGTGGTAAGGTTGGGTTTGTTTGACAGCCTGCTATGTAGGGGATTCAGGGGTAAGCAAAACAGAAATATTTTCTCCCTCTCAGTGCCACAGAGGAACCACCTAACCCCATGGAAAAATGGAATAAAGCCATGAAGGTGAGAGCCTGAGAGGGCGAGAGGGTCAGAGCCACAGCCAGTTGAGCTGGGGGAGGTCAGCTTCAGTCTCTCATAATTCTTTTTTTTTTCTTGTATTGCGATGGGAAAGTCTGCTGTTAGGGACTTCTCCAAAGTACTGAAGAGCAATGGTGTCTCTCTGTAGATTAAGGTGCATCTGACACAGGCCATGGTCTTTGCAGTCACCTGTTATGCATCAGAGAGTTGGACAATGACCAAGGAGGATAGAAAGAGAATTGATGCCTTTGAGCTGTGGTGCTGGAGAAGAGTATTGAGGGTACCATGGACTGCTAAGAAAACAAACAGATTCAACCTGGAGAGGGTTAAACCAGGCTGCTTCTTGGAGGCAAGGATTCTGAGGCTTCATCTGACATACTTTGGACATATTGTAAGGAGGGACAGGTCCTTGGAGAGGGACATCATGCTTGGGAGGGTGGAAGGACAGCGCAGGAGGGGAAGACCCTCTATGAGGTGGATTGATTCACTGACTGGGGTAATCCGGATGGGTGTATTGGAGACAGTACAATTGGCATAGGACAGAGCAGAGTTTAGGACGGCACATAACAATAACAACAACAATATTGTGATTTGGGTGAGAATTTACCAAACTCATTGGTTTCCCATTCAACTATCCACACACAAAATGTATTTTTTTTAGAAAATTCATTACAATACCCACAATGCAAGATACCCATACTCTTCTTATGTCCTTTCCTATCAAGTCTTGAGGCCTCAGTTTCTGCTTCTGTAAAATGAGAGCATGATGATCAGGTTAGGGGAAGACTAACTTCGTTCACACGAGAAGGTTACAAGCGTTTTTTTTCAGAGCATCTGCTGGATGTCAGACCGTGTGACATAGTCTGCTGCTAACCAGGAAGTCAGCAGTTTGAATCCACCAGCCACTCCAAGAAAAGAAGATGAACAATCTCTTCTTGTCAAGATTTACACCATAGGAAACCCTGTGGAGGGTCAACTATGGGGCGGAGCCGACTTGACGATAGAAGGCTTGGGGTTTGGTATTTGCTGGGCTTGGGTTAGGGTTTGGGTTAGGTTTGGGTTTGGGTTAGGGTTTGTTTTGTTGTCTGTCACTGAGTTGGCCATGACTGGCAATGACTCCATACACTATGGACTCAAAGATTTACTGTCCTTGTCCTGGGTGGCGGATCTGATCATTGGGATTTTTAAAAATTTTTAATTTTTTTTTTTTTTTACTTGTTGTGTGCTGTCGAATTGGATCCGGCTGGCACAGGAGGAGATTGCCCCTCCTTCTCCAGTGGAGCATCTGGTAGATTTGAAACACGTGCCTTCAGGATTACAGCGCAGCTTCTTGCCATTAGGCCACCAGAGCTCCCTATCCCTGGCTGATTTTTACAAGTAGATTGCCAAGCTTTTTTCCCTCCTTTTCTTAGCCTGGAAGCTCTGATGAAACCTGTTCAGCATCATCACAACACGCGAGCCTCCACTGACAGCTGGGTGATTGGCCGGAAATGGACCTTGGACCACATAGAGAAAACTTGGCCACCAAGCCAGGACTGCCTTTGTGTTTGTGGCCTGGGAGTGCGTACTGTCTGCCAGGCACTGAACTGGCTGGCCATTGTAACGCACTTTACCATTGTGCAGTGAGGAATCTGAGGCTGTAAAGCATCCACTCACCCAATGTTGCTGTTATCAAGTCGAACACGACTCATCGCGACCCTATGAACAAAAGGCCTGAAGCCTTTCTACAACTATCATCGTTTGTCAAAGTTCATACAGTTTCCAGAGGCAGGTTGTTTAGGAAGTGGATGCCACTCCTGCTTCCAACACCCAATGATTTATAGCTACTAATATAGGGCAGGGTTTCTTGAGAAGCAAAACCAATTAAACTTATATATGGCTTGTTGTTGTTAGCTGAATACGACTCATCGCAACCCTGTGAGTGACAGATCTGAACCTTCTGTCCTATCTTGTGCCACCTGCGTCGTCTCTGACACACTTGAGCCCATTGCAACAGTCACTGGGTCAATCCATCTTGTTGAGGGTCTTCCCCTCTTTCACTGACCCTTCTAAGCATGAGATTCCTTTCCAAGGATTAGCTTCTAGTAACAAGCCCAAAGTATATAAGACAAAGCTTTTCCATCCTTGCTTCAAGAAGCACTCTTGGCTTTCCAAAGATATATTTGTTTATTACAGTCCATGAGGTATTTAATACTCTTCTCCAACACCCTATCAAAGGCACCAATTTCCCTTCTGTCATCATTATTCGCACCAATTTCCCTTCTGTCATCATTATTCATTGCTTTTAGAGGCTGACAAGTCCAAAGGTCTGTGGGTCAGTCCTTAAGAGAGAGGTATCTGGGAGGCTGATATGTCCAAAGTCAGCCATTGGCTCAAGTCCAGAGGTTGTGAGTTAGATAGGCGGATGAAAAGCTCTCTAGTTTTGCTGGGGAGCGTGTGTATATATGTAATGCAAGGCACAGCCCAAGGACATTTCCCCTTCATCAGATCAGGCTGGTCATGTTGGTCATGTTTTTATAGATCTACCTCTAATCCTGCTTCATTAATATCATGTTGTGTACTGTCAAGCTGGTACCAACCTGCAGACAGCCCTCCAGTGGGTTTTCAGAGGCAGCAAATCACACGAGGGGAGTTTACCCATCTATCTTTGTCCTGCAGAGTAGCTGGTGGATTCAAACCACATACTTTTGGGTTGGCAGCACAATTCTTTACCATTAAGCCGTACGTGGCTTCATCTCACATGCTTCAAGCATGTTGCTAAGAGAAGCTGTTCTTTGGAGAGGGACATCATGCTTAAAAAGGTGGAGGGCCAGCACAAGAGAAGACCCTCAACCAGAAGGTTGAGTTACTACTGCTCCTCAACTGTGCTTGAATGTGTCAGAAAGTGTGTAAATGGCACAGGATAACACAGGATTCAGATCTGTTGTTCATAGGGTTGCTATGGGTTGTGTTTCACTCAATGGCACCTAACAACAACAAGAAGCAGCTGCTAGGGAGTTCTGGTGAGCTAGTGGTAAGATGTTGTGCTGCAATCCCAAAGGTACATAGTTCGAATCCACCAGTTGCTTTATGGGAGAAGGATGGGTAATCTCCTCCTGTGCAGTTTATAGCCTCTGAATACTCTCTGGAGGGTAAGCTATGAGTCGGTTTCAACTTGATGGCACGCAACGACAACAACAACAAGAAACCAGTATAGGTTAATTCGGATGGCCAACAGACACATGAAGAAGTCCTCAAAATCACTGGCAAATCACAACCCCAATGAGATATCATCTCACCGCAGTAGCAGTGGCAAAGTGTAACAGGACAGCAGGTAATAAATGCTGGAGAGGATGTGGTGAGATAGGAACTCTTATACAGTGTTGGTGGCATTGTAAAATGGTACCACCATTCTGGAAGGTAGTTTGACATTTCCCCAAAAAGTTGAACATAGAAATTCTATATGAACCAGCTATTCCACTGCTTGGAATATACCCCAGGAAAATGAGAACTGAGGCACAAATGGAGACTTGTACATCAGTGTTCATGGCAGCATTATTTACATTGCAAGAACATGGAAACGGCCCAAATATTCAACCACAATCAAATTAATTGAGAAATAATTGTACATTCACATGGTGGAATACTATGCAGCATGTAAGAACAATGATTTTGTAAATCACTACCTAACTTGGGAGAGCATTATGCTGAGTGAATTAACTCAGTCCGGTAAGGGCAAATACTATATAAGACCATTATTGTAGCATGAGTATGAAGATCCAAGGTGGGGAGGGGGGAGCAGAGGGGTGAGAATGGGTAGAAGGGTGTGTGTGGTTAACCATAGGGTCACACAATTTGATGGGTCGAGGGAGGATTGGGCAAAGGAAATGGAAAAGATCTGGTGTGAAAAACAATGTATACCAACTTTGTAAGTAAACCAGTATAAAAGAAACATTTTACTTTAAATTAAATCAAAACAAAACCGAACCCACTATGGGTTAAGATTTATAACACCTGAGTCTTTTGGTCACCCTGACTCTGAATTGTAACTGTTACACTAAATGTCGAGCATAGTTTCAAACTTTACTCGGTGGGGTTCTGAAGCCGCCTTCGTTGGTTGGTCAGCTGTAGGCCCAAGGTCCTCGGTTTGGAGTCCCCAGAGTGACTTGGAGGCCCTGCTTCCTCCAGCCGGGGGGCGGAGGGAGTTGGATCTGAGGCTGACTTGTGTTCTCAGTCCCTCAAAGAGACTCCTGTTGTGGCTCTGGTCTGGGTCTGGCAGTGACCACATCTGGGAGTGTCTGCCCCTCGCCCCTGTCATTATAATGGTGGCTTTGAAGCCACTGGTGGCAGTGCTGTTTGCCCATGTGGGAGGGGCTCCGCCTGACTCCCCTTATGCTCTCTTCCAGATCCTGCAATGGCAGATTCCAGCGACAGCCCCCTAACGGGGTCTGGGGAGGCAGCTGAGCTCCCTGGAGATGAAAGTGGCACCTCTGGTGGGGAGACCTTCCCCCTTTCCTCGCTGGCCAACCTGTTTGAGGGAGAGGATACCTCCCTCTCACCCTCTCCCGCTGATGCCTGTCGTCCTTCTGGCCTGGGTGATGGGCGGCCCAACCTGCGCATGAAATTTCAGGGTGCCTTCCGGAAGGGCGTGCCCAACCCCATCGACCTGCTGGAGTCCACCCTTTATGAGTCCTCAGTGGTGCCTGGGCCGAAGAAAGCGCCCATGGACTCCCTCTTTGACTACGGCACCTATCGACATCATCCTAGTGACAACAAGCGATGGAGGAGGAAGGTCATAGAGTGAGTACTGCTGGCTGCCTGGTCAGGGGACTCCCTCTCTGTACAGAACCCACCCATCCTTCTGTCCGTCCACGATTCATGCATTCATCTGCCCGTCCATCTATCTTTCCATGCACCATCCATTCACCCATTCATGCATCTACTTGTCTATCTACCATCTATTCACCATTCATCTGTCCACTCATGTATCTCTCCATTTGCTTATCACTATTCACTCATCTAGCCACCATTTGTTTCCTATTCAGCTGCCCATCTATTATCTATTTATCCCTTCACCCATCCAGCCACCATCTAACCACCCAACCATCTACTATCCATCCACCATTAGCCAAGCTTTTTATTTATCTAGCCATCCACGCATCCATCTAGCCACCATCAATCCACCATCCCATGTATTTGTCCTTTGTCCAACTCCTACACTCTTGTCCCTGTAGTCTGTCCATCCTTCCATCTATTAATTTACTTATTTTTCCAACTATCCACTCATATACTTTTTTCACATGTATATCCATTCATCTGTTCACCAAACTACAATCTGTCCATAATTACACATGTGACCAGTCTTCTACTCATCCATTATTACCCATTCACTTATACCCATCACCTTCATTTACTCATCCATTCGCACACTTTCTTAGTCTATCCACTTGTCCAATCTCTCCATTCCTCATCCATTTCTTCAAATTACAACTAACATCCACCTGTCCACTCATACAACCAATTGTCTATCCACCCACTGGCCCGCTCGTCCAAATATCTATCCATCCCTCACCTACCTATTGTTTCTGTTTATCCAACTGTATATCACGCTAGTCATGATTCATTCCTTCATCTCTGATTTCTTTATTTTATTTAATCACCTGACCACCTAACTCTATGAGCTCTTGTGGCCTAGTGGTAAGAAACTGCTCTGCAATCCCAAAGGCACATGGTTTAAATCCATCAGCTGCTCTGTGGAACAAGAATGGGCAGTCTTCTTCTGTGCGATTAACTGCCTCTGAAAACCCACTGAAGGGTCAGCTCTGAGTTGGTCTCCACTCAACAACACACAACCACCATCACTGAACTATATTCAGCCATCCATATTTGAAGCACTCAATGCATTTACACACATTTATGTCCATCCATTTGTTTGTCCACTCATTTATTTTCTTAGTCACAGAGTCATTAATTAATTTACATAGGAACATTTTCATCCTTTTGCTCCCTCATCGGTGCTTCCATTTTCCCATCTATTCAACTTTTCCCTCTGTCTGCCACCCCTGTGTCTGCTCCAAGATGATATTCATTGCTAGGCCTCCAGTGGCTTTCTTGGGGCTTGAGGAGAGCTGGCAGTCCCGTGACATTAACCATCTCTCTCCCATTATGGGGAAGCTTAAAGAAAAGGGTGGAGAGGAGCCCTGCGTGGGGTAGCAGAGTGTGGTTCCCCTAGAGATGGGGAACCTCCAACCCTGGATCTAGACTTCCTAGGTACTTTTATGGCATATGTGTGTGATCTCCCTGGCATCTTGTAAACCCAGAGTCCCAGAGTCCCAGAGTTTGATACCCAGATGACCCTGGTATCTATAAACTCTTGTCTAGACCCTCTGCTCTCCCGGAGTCTAGAGGAAATTTGCCTGTGGGGACACTCACAATCTCACCATCACCTCCAGCTCCAGTGGCTGCTTTTGCTGCTTGAGTAATCAGTGTGGCCCGCTCTGGGTCTCAGCCCTATTGTCCCTGTGGTGTCCTGAACTGGAAACCAGCCTCCTTCCATTGCTCCTTAAAGCCCTTGCCTGAGGGTCTCGACATATCATGGAGATGAATCATACATATCCTATTGCCTGTTGCTGCCTGGCACCTCGCCGTGTCCTCTGCTGGTCCCAGACTCGCACACACTCTTGGACGTCCACTTTCTCTGTCTTTGCCTGGTTCAGAGTGGTACCTTGTGTTGATGCCTTGAATCACTGATTGATTTAATTAATGTCTATGGAGGATTCAGGATTCAAGGGGGTGAGAGTAGAGCAGATGAGCCAATCAGCAAGTAAAGAAGAGCGTAAATATACCCTGGGGTAAGAGGAAGTGCTGAGATAGGGAAAGGGGCTGCACAGTACGGTTTCCCCTTTCCCCCTCCTTTAGCTTTGGGCTTAAATGTCAACTCTTTCAGGAAGCCCTCCTGGATTGCTCAAAGCTAAAGGGAAAGAAGGGGCAGCCACACTGAAGAGAGAAAGAGTTTTCTGGGAAGAAAAAAGGGCACAAGCAAAGGGCTAAAGGCTGGGGAGCACTCTAAATGTCCAAGGAACCAAAATAATTTTTTACTTTTCTCAGAAGAGGAAACTGAGGCCCAAAGCAGTGAGTGCCCATTGTACCCTCAACACCGTTCTCTGCCCAAGCTCTCTTAGATGCTGTTGGGAGAGCTGGTGGTCTTGATTTCTCCACTGTCCCACCTTCAGACCTCCTTCTTCAAGCTCTTTCACTACCACCACCTCAAGACTTCAGGGCTAAAGTCTTGGAGAAACTGCTTGTTAAGCTGCTGGGGCCACCAGAGGCCTCCTCAATGAAGTCGGGGGATGAGACTGGGGCAGGTTCTTTCTCACTTACTTTTTGGCTCTGAGGTCCAAGTGTGTTGCACCATTGACTTGGCCCTGATTCATGCCAACCATGCGCAGTGGGACTAAACTCTGCCCCATCCTGTGCCATCCTCACCATCTCTGCCCATCTTTCTCCCACAGAGCAGCTGGTGGGACAGGAGCATCAACTTTTTTTTTAATATATAAAATTTACTGATCTAACAACCCAGTTGAAAAATGGGCACAGGATATGAACAGAAAGTTCACCAAAGAAGACATT